CGTGGGTGTTTTGCTTGCTTGTGATGGGGTGTGAACCGACAGTCTGTAGAGTTTTCCATCTGGTGTGGGTGAGTGATAGTCTGCTTTGACTTTTGCCACAGGTACCTTGAGGGCAGTGGTTGGTGCCCACCTCTCTCAGGGTATCAGTTGTCGGGCAGTCGTTGATGCTTAACCACAGCCGGGGTTAAGTTAAGGTGGATTATCACTTACAGTGTATAAGTTAGGGGATTCTGCAGACTGTTGAGGGTTCAGCCTCCTGATGAGTCGGTGAAACTCCGACGAAACAGTTTGCCACAGCCCCTCATTTGTTGTCCTCTTCTCCCTCTCTGCCTACGGTTTACCGGGCAGCTCTGTTTGAATATATATATAGGGGTAGGGAACCCGTTCAGCTGTGATGAACAGCATAGAAGTCATGATGATGATGAAGAACATGAGGCAACAGGGTCGAGACCCGGCCGGCTCGCTCCTCGAAGTGTGTGGTAATTACCCCCCAAAGAACCTCCAGGTAAGCGAAACTCTCTCTATCCACAGACCATACCAGATCCCACCTCGGACCCGTGGTCCCCACTTCAGTTACTCTCGCATCCTTCTTCCCTGCTTCAGACACTCTTCTCCTTGGGTATGGAGGGGACGTCGGAGGGGACCCCTCCTTGGCTATGGTTTCCTCCAGTTATGGAGGGGACCACCTTGGCTATGGTTTCGTCGCCGAAACTAGAGGCAGGAAGCACTTGGCTATGGCTGCAGTCCTATCTATCTTTGTGTCTGCTGGGCGCAAGGTGGCTATGGGTTCCTCCAGCGCTGGAGGTCTATATGTATAGATATGACAACTTCATGCTACTATACAGTCACTGGTATGGATGATAATAAGTACATGCTCAGGGCACAGCACTATTCAGTAGTGTTGCTGTTAGTATTATTATTAGTCATAGCAAGGCGCACTAGCTATAGCAGCAGCAGCAGCAGCAGCGATGGCAGCAGCAGTAGTGTTGCTTTTAGCATTAGTCATGGTAGTAGCAATAGCGCTAGCAGCAGCAGCAGCAGGTGTAGTGTTGGTCTTAGCCTTAGTCATAGAAGGAGCAATAGCCCTACCAGCAGCAGCAGCAACTATGGGGCTGCTGCTGTGGTAGCAGCAAGAGCAGAAGAAGAACACAGGAATAAGAATGAGAATGAGAATAAGAATAAGAATAGGAAGACGCAGAGGAGGTGGTGGAGAAGGAGGAAAGGAGAAGAAGAAGAGGAAGAAGAAAAAGAGGAGGTGGAGGAGGAGGAGGAGGAGGAGGAGGAGGAGGAGGAGGAAGCGCTAGTAGCAGCGGCAGCAACAGCAGCATCACTATCAGTAGTAGTAGCCGCAGCAGTTGTGGTACTGCAGTAATAGCAAGAGGCAGCAGCTGTGACAGGAATTCAATGGTAGCAGTAGTGCTATTATTAGCAGCAGTAGCAGTAGCAGTAGTAGTAGTAGTAGTAGTAGTAGTAGCACTACCATAACGAGGGCAGCACCGATGTCAGCAACAGCAGTAGCAGCAGCAGCACAAGAAGAAGAAGAAGAAGAAGAAGAAGAAGAAGAAGAAGAAGAAGAAGAAGAAGAAGAATAGAAATAATAGATAGGAGCAAGGCCAATCGCCTGACGTCCAAGCAACAAGGAATCACTCGTTCAAAAACTGCACAGAGGTAGAAAGCTCAGAAACATGCACATTCCCCGATGCGTTTAGCCTGGCTGCGCTCCAGGACTTCTCAAGGGGCATATCGCTCTCCCGCATCGATCTGTCGAAAGAAGAAAGAAAGGAGGAGGAAGAAGAAAGAAAGAAGAAGGAAGAAGAAGAAAGAAGAAAGAAGAAAGAAAGAAGCAGCAACAGGACCATTACGAGCAACAGTAGTCTTGCAGGCACTCTCTTTTTTCATAATTAGCAGGAGCAGCAGCAGTAGCAGTGGCAGAAGCATCAGCAGTGCTAGAAGGGGCAAACCTGGTCCAATGAACCTGGTCGTTGTTCGCAGGAACAGCAACATAATCTTCACCATCATCGGCAGCAAGTAAGAACATAGCCTAGTTCAAATCCAATGAACAAGCCTGGTTCTGGATCTAAATACAGACCACACATGCCTAGGCAAAACGACATGGCCACCGAGAACCTGGTCGCATGTCAGGCTCTGGTTCCATTTAGAATGGAAGGGATGAATCTTGAGTGTCTACATCCAGATGGTCTTTGTTATGATGTGTGTAGACGATATCAATGGCCCCGACGTCTGCACTCTTCGCAGCAACTTTGTCAAGATTGGGGCCTTCTGTCCGCACGCTGGGTAGCAAATTTGTCCGATAGGGTCAGGTCATGGGTGCCATTAAGCTTGGGCCTGGATGAGGCGGAGAAGCCCAACCCCACATCAAGTGAAAACTCGATAACACTCAGGCAGACTTCGGGACACTTACGGACACTTTGACACTTAAAGAGAATAGCGACACTTGTCTTAGGTACTGTTTCAGACACTTGGGAGACACTTAGATAGAGACACTTATGGACCCTTAGGCACACACTCAGGGACACTTAGAGACACTTGTCGTAGGTACTCTTACAAACACTTGGAGGCACTTAGAGCCAGTTAGGGACACGCTATTAGAGCTGTGGAGGATTTGAAAAGGGTGGAATGCAGTTTCCTGCCTGCTCCTAAGGAGCACGCATGGTTCAGATATGTAAAGGGAAGCAAGAGCAGTGGCGGCGGGGCGGCGGTGGGGGGGGGGGGGGGAAGGGGGGCTGAAAATGATTTACTCTGCGAAGATTAGGATAACGTTCTTGGGAAAGTGCATGGCAATCTGTTTGTAGACAGCTATTTCTAGCAAGCTGTTTTGTAGATCGCTATTTATAGCAAGCTGTTTGTAGACAGCTATTTATAGCAAGCTGTTTGTAGATAGCTATTTATAGCAAGGTAGTTATTTTCAAGCGAGAGATCAGATTGTGAATGGCTAATAGGTCAAATGGCTGGCAAAGGTTCATATGCTAGATGCATGATGGCGGCACGATCGGCGGAAAGAATCAGTTGTATGCAGGATAAGGGTCCAAGAGCGTGAAACAACTTAAAAAGCCCCCGTTTCGATATGTGCGTGTCATCCTTGAAAGCGCAGGGGCCATGCTAATCTCCTCTCTGTATCTGTCCAATGTTAACAGATGTCCCCTCCGCCTCCCCCCCCCCCCCCCCCCCCCCCCCCCCCCCCCCCCCCCCCCTGGAAGCACGAAGAGCCCCCCTTTTTCATTCCCCACCAACCCTAATTTGTGTCGACTGAAGGAGGAACCTTACTACAGGACATGTTTGCCTGCTTCTCTGTACTCTCTGACTAGCTTCTGCTGCACCGTGCGGACATGCGAATGACAGCGGCGTGCTGGGATGACCGATCACTTCGCCATCATCAGGCAACACCTGCATGCTGCAACAACCAAAGCTCTCATTGAGCGACAGGCATAGATGAAGGAGCGGTGGTACTTCAAGCTTCAATGAAAGGCCTAGAATGAGATGGGGGGCGAGTACGGTCAGAGTCAAAGCATTTGGCAGCACAGTATGTTGTTCAAGACGGTGATGGAGGTGATCTGGTGATCGTGGTACATCCGACGGTTGGCCAACTCTTCGCTCACAGGCAGATGACATGCTTGCCTGCAGTCGTGTCAGGTTGCCTGCCCCTTACGCGGCTCCTTCGACGCCACTTGTAAGGTTGTAGACATACGATCTCTTCTTCTGCATTGCTGCGCATTTCTTACGTGGTACTGTCAAAGCTACTTGTAGGTTCGTAGGCAGATGATCTAGTTCGTCTTCTCCACCATTGCGTGCTCCCTCGGTGGCTCGGCGAACACAACTTGTAAGGTTGTAGGCAGGCAATCTACTCTTTTCCTCCTTACCTGTTTGGTTCAGACTCCAGAGTCATCTCGGAGGGAAGACGATTTTCGCAGGTCCGCTGGGAGTGGAAGAACCCATCTTGTTGTTGTTACATGCCAGAGGCAATCTCTGGTGGGTGGCATATGGTGTTACGATGCCCCCACTCTCTGTGCTCGATAGCGAATTGTTGACGCCTAGAGTGTTGGAACTGCTTAGGAAAATAGGGGTGTTTTCGGTGGAAGACATCGTCTTGTTGGACGTTGACGAACTTTCTAAAAAAGCAGGGTGGAGTACCTCAGACTGCCATTCTGTGAAATGGGCAGTGGCATCGATCCTGAATGATGTCGAGTCAAGCTGCCTAGCACAGTGGATGAACGGCTGGGTTCTTTGCCAATCGTTGAAGCAGCAGCAGCAGCAGCAGCATGATGGACCGGCTTTTCTGCCCACTGGGTGCACAAGCCTAGACGACCTTCTTCATGGTGGCCTGTGCAACGGAGCCATCACGGAGCTCGTGGGACCCTCACCTTGTGGGAAAACTCAGATATGTCTGCAAGCCGCCTCGGTTGCATCTTATTTTTGTCGTTGGGGTGTTGTTTATGTCGATACGTCTAATTCGTTTTCTGCAGTTCGCATTGCCCAGATGCTTGTGGGACTCTGCGGAAGTCAGCAAAAAGCGCAGTCGTCCAGTGCTGATCTGACGAAGGCCCTCTCAGCCATCGTCAGGTTCCGAGTGTACGACATCCACAAGTTGTTGGCGCTTCTCGACAGCCTTGATGAACGCCTGCAGACCGTCCGGGCTGGCGAATGCCGCGGCTCATCCTCTGCTCAAGAGGACGTTTCGGGCCTATCGGACGAGGATGTATATGGTCGTCTGCGGCTGCTCGTTATAGACTCGGTGTCAGCACTTGTATCGCCTGTTCTAGGGGGTAGCCAATCTCAAGGCCACACTTTGATGGTTGCTCTTAGCCGGCGCTTGAAGCAATTGGCTGCAACGCATGGAATTGTAGTTCTCGTAACTAACTACATGGTCTCTGCCGCCGGTGAAGGAAACTCGGTGAAGCCTGGACTAGGAGAGAGTTGGCGCTCAGTTCCCGATGCTAGAATCCAGCTCAGCAGCTCCTCTGAATCAGACGTGTTCGTCGCGAAACTGGTCAAGCATACGAGCATGGAATGCGGCTGCGAAACATCCTTCCGCATAAGACGACAAGGAGTTACGAATGTGTCTGGGCCGGCGTCTGGATCGTCAGAGCGTTAAATAGTTGCACTGTGCGAAAGACGGAGAACAAGGGACTAAATCACTGTATTTCTTGAGGGTTTGATCCCTAGATTCTTCAATTGGCAGTTGCAGGTGTGAACCCCCCATCCAGCCGACAGCCGCCGACCTTGCTAGGGTCGGTGATACTTGGCTATTACGCGCTCCCACCCCTAGTAGTCCGGCTGGAGGCTCCACTTATGGGTGGTGCGCAATACCTGCTGGAAAACGGGTCCAGCATCCCTGGTACAAGACACAGAAGGATGAATAAAGTCTTGCTGTACGCTTGCCTTGAAAAAGGCAACACTGTTAGTGAAGTCAACGATCGACAAAACATGCGTCAGCAAACTCAACGACTGACGAACATGCGAACATGCGTCATGTTGAGAAGGCAACAATCCAGTTTAGGGTTATCTAAACCGTTTGGAACATGGTGGGAGGTGAAGTTTCTTTTCTTGTTTGCTTTTTTACCTTGGGGCTTTGAGGTGAGGTGCAGTCTCCACATACATGTGTGACCTTCGTTCCAGTTGTCCATGACGGGGCATGATATAAAAAAAAATAAAAATAAAAAAAATGTTGCTTTGTGATGGTATGTCAGCGGAAGTAGATCGCACAGCTATCCCATCCCCCATGCAGTTGATTTCAAGGGTTCATAATTTGTCATTTCCAGTCAATTGCCCCCTAGTGATTCATAACACCTTTCGTTGAGCTGTTAGAAAGCATTCATACTAGTTTCATAGTGCCCAGCAATTCGGCGGAGATGTCGGAATCGCCATATCGAGCTGCTTGTAGAGGATCATCGTACTTCATCATATCTTGGTGATAGAGAAGTCCAACCCAGGCCCTGTTGCTGTTATTCCCAACAAGTTGCCTCAGAGGAGCTGCATATAGCTTCCTGTGATCCAGCCAGTGCTGTTTGGATGTGTGGAGCGAAGAGGGTGTGAACTAAAGAGGTGGGCAGGAGGGGGGGGGGAGTGTGAATCGGGGTGGGAGGGCAAAGACAGGGACATTTGAGGGGAGAAGAGTGAAACAGACTGAATAGCGCGCGATCCTTTTCCGCTAAGGGCCGGGGGGGGGGGGGGGRGGAAAKGTTWTYTAAYKGGKGGGGAAAAWACCGGGCTTAGTTAGGCTTGGAAGGTCAGGGCAAAAMAGGGGGGGGAATGCTATCTAAACGGTGGGGAAATAGGGGGTCATTGGAAAGTGGTGTGGTCCCGGGCCTGGTTAGGCTCGGAAGATCAGGTGTGGACACTGTGGAGTTATCGTACTGGCTCCTGTCCCGATTTCTATTTTTATACCGCCAGTACCTTTCCCAGCTATTCTTTTCAGAGGCGTGCCGGGTAACGCGCTGGCCTGAAACGGAAGGGCGGCCGCCGATAAATCGAATCGGCGGTCAGTCTTGATTTTCGGGGCGGCCTGAAATGGAAGGGCGGCCGCCGATAAATCGAATCGGCGGGCAGTCTTGATTTTCGGGGCGGCCTGAAATGGAAGGGCGGCCGCCGATAAATCGAATCGGCGGCCAGTCTTGATTTTCGGGCCGGCCTGAAATGGAAGGGAGGCTGCCGATAAATCGAATCGGCGGCCAGTCTTGATTTTCGGGCCAGCTCGCAGTGCCCGCGGCCAACATATGGGAAATGTACTGGTGGTTTAAGTATATCTAACTGGGCCCTTCGAGTGCCAGAACCCGTTATGGGACTGGTCCTAGTTAGGCTCAGCAGGTCAGGTTCCGCGTTATCCCTTTTTTTTTTTCTTTGACTGGTTCAGCTACTGCTTTTTCTGTTGTGAAGTATCCTACTGGGGGTTGTGCTGTTTTCCCCCCTCCCCCCCCCCCTTTTCTGAAATGACTAAACTCTAGTTTAGCTGATGTCTTTCAGCAGAATAGAAATGGGGACCACTCGCCTCATCAGTCCTTGAGGCGAGTGATAAGCCAAGGGAAGGGACGACTATTCTCTTCGGAACTTCCCAGCAGATTCAGAGAGTATGTCAATGACCCCATCCGTCCGCATACTACATAGCAATTTTGTCGAAATCAGGGCCCTCCGTCTGCACAGTGTGTACCGGTTTGTCCCAATTGATGCGTCTGTGCTACGGTCAAGTCATGGGTGGCAGTGAGTTAGTTGTAGCTGAGCGGTGGACTTTTCATACATGTGTGCCATGTCTGTGTTCTTGATTGATTGCAGGTTTAAGATCACTAGAGAGAGCCAGCAAGCCGTGCAGGAGAGGATGATAGCTTTCTGATGCGTGCACAACAACTCTGAGAGAGAGAGAGAGAGAGAGAGAGAGAGAGAGAGAGAGAGAGAGAGAGAGAGAGAGAGAGAGAGAGAGAGAGAGAGAGAGAGAGACTTAGGTGCTGACCGAGGGAGGCACAACCTGTCTCTTATACAC